AGAAGAATTTGGTGGCCTTGAAAAGAAGCACTGTAGATGGTTTTGTTGTGGGTAGTGGACTTGAAGTTAAAATCAGGGGATTGGAGGATGGAATTGATGTGCTCTTCCCAAGTCGGCCGGATTCTGGATGTCCTTGGAAGGCGTGAAGGATGGGCATGACAAGGCTGCGATCAAGCTTGATGCCAAAGCGATCTTCATACCAGGTAGCATAAGCATCATCAATGTAGACAAAGGTGGGAGTTTCGGGTGGGGGGGAGTGGGCAAACGCATCGGTAGCATCACCACCATAGACTCTGTATCCTTTGTGGGCCGCCAAGGCAAAAAACATTCGCTGAATGTGTGGATCAACACAGGAAGAATAGCTTTGAGCAAGGGCATGGAGGACAGGGGCTGCCCGGGGAGAACCGTCACAGCAACTGCGAGAACGACGCGTTCCATCGCGCTTGATGTGGTATTGCCAGTGAATGCGAAGGACAATGGCACCGGGGGGTTTTTCGATAGGTTTTCCAAACATACCAAGGGAGTGCATCCGATATTGCTTGAATTCGCCGGCTTTCCATTCGGGCCAGGTATCAAGCTTCTGCAGTTTCCGTCGGGTAAAGTGACCAAGAGCTTGTTCTTGTGGTGTGGTGGCCTTAGATCGTATCGCATGAAGGGTGGTTTGAATGGTATCAGCAGAGATAGATGTAGGAGAGAAATCGAGGTGGGGGAATCGGATGGAAGCAATGGATCGGATAGAATGGACATCTAGAGTGGGAACATGTTCTTCAGGGGGATCAGAAGCATGGAGATCATGTTCAAGGAGGGCTTTGCGAAGGTGTTTGGAACCAAGATAACGTTCGGGAGCAAGTTCCAGGGAGATTTGGGGTGATTTGGCATCAAAGGCAGCACGAAGAACAGCAAGGGCCTCTTCCAAGGTGAAAACTCTGATATCATTGATTTTGGTGACAAAGGCGCCTTTGATTTTGTTGCAAGTGGCTTTGTAGGAGGAATAGAGTTTGGCAGCACTGGAGTTCTTTTTATGGCAGAGATGAAGGTTCGGTTTGAAAGAGAATCAGTTTGAAGTTGGAAACCAAAGGTAGGGTGTGTGCACTTGACCTTGAGAGTTTTGGAGATTGTGTGGGAGAAAGGATTGAGGGTGAAGTAGAATTGATCAACTGTAGTTTCAGTGGATTCAGCGGGGAAAGGTTCACCATTCTGAAGGCGTTGGAGATGGACAACATTGGGAGGGATAGAATCAAGAGGGAGGTCATTCATGCCTTCATCAAATCTGGCATGTTTAGCAATCTTGACCCGATTGGTTTCGGGATCAAACCACAGAATGTTGGAAGTGGTGTTGGGAAGGAAACCAAGAAAAATACCTTTACGAGAATTGGGCTTGAATTTTGCCTTGCGTCGACCAGGTGGGCGAACCCAGACACGACAGCCGAAAGTTCTGAAATGCTGGAAGTCGTCAGTTTTACCAGTGGCCAAAAGCAAAGGACAGGCTTGCTGATCTTGTGATGGGAGGACATTGTCAATTCGGAGATAATGATGGAAAGCATAGGGCCAGAACTTGATGGGGAGGTTGGCACCTGTGAGAAACGCTCGAATGGCATTACCAACAGTCAGATGTCCACGTTCAACAGGAGCATTTTGATTGGAGGCATCAGCACCAGTGGGTCGAATAGCATAGCCAAATCGTCGGAATAGTTTGATGACGTCGGAATTGTGGTACAATTCTCCACTTTGATCGAGAAACACATACTTATCCGTACACGTAGGAGCATGGTTTTCCAGAAAATGTCGAAGCCACTCGATGGGAGAGGCTTTAGACACACGTGTATCACCATGTTTCATTCGTGTGAAATGATCCGTAACCAAGATCCAAGAGGTTTCACCATGAAGACCTAAGTAATCAGATTCTCAAGTTGAATCAGCAGACTTGATACCTGAGAATGAGAAATCAATGGAAAGACCTTGATAGGGTTGTGTAGCAGTTCTGGTTGAATGGGGACCAGCTGATGTTTTGGTTTACTTGGAGCGAATGCAAGTCGGGCATTGATCTAAAACTGAATTCATGTGTTTGAATTTGGGCACTCCCTTTACATGTTTGTGGGCATGAAAGAGGTAGTAGTCACTAGGATGGCCAAGTCTTTGGTGCCACAGAAGTCTTTCAGTAGACTCTTTGATAGCATTGATGGGAGTGTGGTGTTGAATGTAGTGATGGTATGGGAGATGGTGGAAGGATGTGGGGGTGACAGAAAGCTCTTTTCGGAGATTGGCAAGCTCACATTCTTGGTAGGCAAAGATGTTGTAGAGGGTTGCTTGGTGGCAAGCCTCAGTGAAGTCATCGTCGGTAGGAAAGGGCACAGTCATCTCAGTATCAGAAGGATAAGGAAGTAGTAAAGAAGCAGTGTAACACTTGCCGTGTTTCGGTACACCATGGACAAGGAGATTCTGGGATCGACGATGAGATCCAGTCAGGGTAGATTCACAAAGGGCTGGCTGGGAGTGGAGAGCTCTGCTTGGAGGTCTCACTCCTCTGACAGTGGGAATGGGCCAGCCACAAAGCTGGCTGTCACTGTTATTCAATCTCCACAGCAATGATTGAATAACTTACTCTTTGCCCTGGCACAATCCACACAGGAAGGCTTCAACTGTGGGGAAACTAGTGCTACTGAGGCTGTATCTGGTCAACTATCCTTTCATTACTTCTTCTTCTTTAAACTATACTAAAATCAACTGAACACAAAATCCTCGCCAGCACTCAGCCATGCAGCTTTGGCTCTCTTGCATCTCATTTGGCTGGTATTGACAAGCTATCTTTCTATATTGGTCTTGGCTGAAGAACTGCATCATCCTTGGGGATATAGAGTTCCTCAGCTATTCCTGTATTGCCAGATGGCTGCACTGCTGACCCTACTGTTGGAGTATACAGATGTCACAGGGATTCTTCCACCTGGCTAAACCAGCACAGCTGCTTCGCACCACTATGGGGATTCACGTGGATTTCCACTCATCGCTCCCCACCATGTGATGTGTCCATGGTGGTGTCCAGGAGATCAGCTGTGTCTCCTTGCCAGAACAGAACTGCCTTCAGAATGGGCCATATCTGGGAGTAACCCCAGTGTTCGTCAGGATGTCTGCGGGGTTGATTGCTCCCGGAGATATGAAACGAGATGGTCCCTGCGGCAATGGCTTCTCTGACAAAGTGGTAGGAGAGGGCGTGATGTCTTTCTTGAGGGGCGAATGGGGCTGGTGGAACTTGTCACCACAGACCCATTGTCGCAAACATGTATGTTGGCCCCTTTACCTCCACACCAAGTACCTGGTGTAACTCTGGCTGCAATGGCCTGTTGGGTGGCAACCCTAGCAGAACGAACTCAGAGCCGTAGTGTGCTGCTTCACAGTGGCTTGCTTCTTGAGTACCATTCGAATGGGGTGGTTCACATAGTGCAGTACACCAGTGACTGCCTTGCCATTGACCCAATCGTGGTATAGGTTTGCATCCACATAGGTCGTCAACACTACCGGCTTGCCCTTAGGCTGTGGGGCATCTACTGGGAGTTCCTCCTGTGCCTCCCCATAGACCGTCCTTGTCCAGTCGTAGGTGCGGTATTCCAGTTGGGAGTAGTCTGGCTCGTTGGTGCGGATCCTGATTCCTGCCTGGTTCATCTTGACCAAGAATCCAGTGATCCTCTTGAGTCTTTCCAGATGCCCCACCCTGGGTGCCACCCTGAAGGATGACATTGACATTACAGAGACTGCAATATCGAATCTTCCAAGTGAAATTGCCCATTGCAAAGCTCCAATCAGGGACTGGTATTTTGAGATCCCATCATCATCCAGGAGGGGAGAGGTATCAAGCTCTGGGTGGTCGTTCTTCTCCACTGGGCTGGTGACCTTAGTGGATGGATTCTCCCCAAACAAGGATACATACTGGGCCTTGACACGTTCGATGTACTTTCTTGGTGTCATGGACAGAGTTCCGTCGCTATCCCTTTCAAAGTCACATCCCAGGTGGAAGGTGACAGGTCCAGTTCCTTTGAGTTTGAACTTGTGTGGTGGAGCCTGCAGCAGATCGATGATGACTTGAGGTTGCTTGGAAGCTATCAATAGGTCGTCAACATAGCAACCGATGTACTCGTAGTGATCGCCGCAATCACGCATCCAGATATCTGGCTCAGCCTTAGAGGGCTTCAAGCCAAATCCGTGAAGCACATCATATAGTCTATCATGCCAACACTTGCCTAATGACTTGAGGCCATATTGGGCCTTGATCAACTTCATCGTATGCCCAGCCATGTCTCCAAACTCCCCACCAGCAATAAAACACACCTTTTCAGTTGTGTAACTTTCCAGGTATGCATTGCCAATGTCCGTTGCCCAGAGTTCAAGCCCATTCAACTCAGCCAAGAAACTAACCAGACGGATGCCCTGTAAGGACACAACACCTGAGTAGGTTGGGTCTACTGGTGTCTCTGTCCTGTGGCCTCCTGCCACAAACCTTGCCTTGTACCGTCCATCATGTTTGACGGCATAGACCATATGACATGGTATCTTCTGGTAGCCTGTTGGGACTGGGGTACCCTTTCCCAGTGACTCGAAGGTGTCGTATTCCATTAATTGGGCAATTTCCAGTCTTTCTGCACTCTGCCACTTGTTGTTGCCATTCTTCTCATCGATGAAAACAGCTTCAGCATGGTTTCTTGGGACCTGGAAACCGTATTGGTAAATGGGCTTGGTGCGGAAACTTTTCAACTTTGCTTGGTGTATCATACGTGCGAACACCTTGGAGTTCTTGGTATAGGGTTTGCATCGCTTCCATCCATCGACCTTGAGCAGGCCATTCTTTAATGCGTGGATGGAAATTGACACAGGGTCATCATTGAAGATGCTCCCCATATCCTCCCAAGAAGTCTCTCCGCTGGCCCATTGAATCAGCACCTCGTACTTAGACTTAGTTCGGGAGGGACGATGTCGGATGACAGCCTCGATCCGGTACATGTCATCCTTGTCTAGGTCCCTTTCACACCATTCCAGCATCTTTGAGTATGCCAAAACTTCCTCAAAGTATTCGTCCCCATGTTTGCACTTGAACCTGTATACAGCTGCTGACCCGTCTGCGTTGGTCTCTCCTGTGGCCTCGGCAGACACAATCTTGGCTCTATGCTGCTCGCCTTCCTCGTTGGGGTGGGTGATGAAGGTCCTGTTAAGAAGGTTGGTTATGTCAATGACTGGCAGGTTGCCACCGTCTAGGACATCCCTGTGCTCAAGATTGGATAGGATATCCTTGCGTATGGAGTTGTGAAACTCCCCATTCTCCTCCGTCTCCTCTATCTCGATGCCTTTCTCAATCACTTCAGTCTCCAGAGCGGCCCCGACTACAAGGTCAGCTTCGCTTGTGGAGTCCTTCTGTCCTGAGATTGGCTTTGGTTTGGGGGCCAGTTTCGGGGCTAGTCCATCAGCCTTCCAGTTGCTGAGTTCAGCTCCCTTCCTTGCCGTCCTGGCCACCGCCCTGCATATGACTTTGCCTGACTCCGTCAATATCTTGTAAGTCATCCCATGACCCACGTCTTCCGCTACCCCGACAAACCGGCCCACCGCCTCAACAGAATCTTCTGGAAATGAACCACCGTACTTCTGGTAATATACAGGTTCGTAGAACTCAAACTGAATAAGGGCTGAGATATCCGGTGTGAAACCGAACAACCACTCAAAAGGTGTACGCCAACCAAGGCATTCCAGGGCGATGTGGTTCTGTAGAGCGGATATGAACTGTCCACACAGGAGCCAGCACTCAGAGGGGACATCCCGGGTGTCCAGTACCATTTGGATCTTCGCTTTCGTATCCCTCCAGCCCAACTCAGCAAAGTTTTGGTTGCCCTTGTAGGCCTCAGAGTGCCAGTCGTCGATGCAAAAGGTCCTGTAGATATCCTTGACCCTCTGATTGCACTGGGCCTTAGCATTGTCGGACCGTATCCTGTTCATGGCACCAAGCTTTCTGATCTCATCCATCAGATTCCTGATATAACTGGCATCAGAGCTCCCAGCGGGGCAAAGTGTCCTGTAGTGGGAGGTCCTGCCAATGAAAAGTTGGGCTGCAGTGGACCCATCATCAATAGCTGGCGTGCTGCTATAGATTGTATCCGTGGCTACATCTTCGTGTCGTCTTGGGATATTCAGGATGGGGTTGGGAGACACGATCTGACCTCTAAGTGTCCTTCCCTGAGTGGCGCCCTTGGTTCCATACTGAGTGGTAGCATCGAGAGTTCGCTTGATAGTCTCATCGGTAACTCCTGGGAAGAACCTCCTGAGTTTGGCTGTGCTCTGAGTCTTGATCTTCTTGGACTTGGGTGGGAACTCAAGACCGGTGTGGTGTTTGGCCTTGTTGTTGGACCGAAGTGGTTCCGTGTCCTCGTCGTCCGATACAGTCTCAACCTTTGGCTGAGCTTGTGTTGAAGGTGGTCCTGAACAATCCTCCCCAGCACCTGATGACAAAGGGGCTGCCAAAGGGGTGGGCCGGCGCCGGCGTTGGGCCCGGGTTTGTACATGGCATTGCCATGGAGTATCAGGATCAGAAGCATAACCGTCACTGTCATCCGAAGAGTCGGAGTCATAACCGTGGGATGCTCGTTCCATGAGGGGGGGAAGGTCAATCTCGTCGGAGATGATGTGTGCCATGGCTTCCATAATGCCACGACGATCAATGGACTGGTTCTGGCGGTCAGAGTGGTCAACGAAGTCGTCATCAAACACTCGAAGTCGCCCAAGAGGGTCCAGTGGGAACTCCCCATCATCGTAGAGGGTGTTGTCCTGCTGAAGGAACCAGTCATCCGCAGGGACAGAGTCAAGACAGGAGGGATCCCAGGCATGAGGACTGGTGAGGTCCACATGGGGGATACTACTGTCACTGAGCTCCTGGTCAGTAGGTGGCCGCAGTTGGACATAGGGTAGCCCAGACTGGATGGCCATGGGCACCCTGAAACCATTGGGGGTCACAAAGTAGGGGTCAAGCCCGGTGACAGTCAGGGCCTTGTCATGGACACGGCACCCGAAATGCTCCAACTGACCTGGGGAGAGAATGGTTTTCCCATGGGACATGGCAGCACCCTGGTGTATCAGACCAATGATGGGACCATGGTCTGTGAGGATGTAAGCAGCTGCCGTGGCAAGCTGGAGGTTCTGAACTGTATGGTCATCAATGCCACTGAGATCAATAAATTGACCGTAGCGGTGAATAACCCTGACATCCTTGCCAAGGATGCAGCCGTTGGCTCCTCGGTCCATGAGGGCTCGCCACATGAGCGTGGACCAGGAATGTTTGGAAACAGTGTAGATCACAGAACCGGGTGTGCTGGAATGCCCTGGAGACGACCGGTCCAGCACAGTAACTGGTCGTTCCTTGCCAATTGCCGCGGAAGGTAGCCCCTCCGAAGATAGGTGGCATGCTACCCCGCGAGCATGGGTGGTGCCTGGTTTCCTGGGGCTGGACCTGTTCAGCACATAAACAGATCGCCCCTTCAAAAATCCGGCTCCGGCTCAGGTTCAGGCCGACGTACAGGCATCTGACTAGAGGACCAGTAGGCCTGTAACTTGGTGTCGATGTCATCACCCGTGGCCTTGGCAAAGGCAGATGGTGGGGCAGAACCAGTATCAGGGCTGAACGAGACGGTGTAACCCTGCCGTTTGCCTGTGTTGTTTGACATCATTCGACGGACATCCCCAGGGTGTTTGTCATTTGCCTTCGCCTGGGGTGCCGAGTGTGATGGGGAAGCCGCAGGTTTGCCAACTGAAGGTGTCGTATCTGCCTGGTTTACGTCCAGTGATGGCCCTGGTGTGTCCCCGACTGCAAGGTCAGCTTCACTGTGGGGGTCCATTGTGCTGTTGGCAACGTTGGCTTGGCGACCGGCGGGTGCTGGCGGCTGGGATGCCATCAGTACTTTCTTGTCGTGGTCATCAAATTGATGCCAATTCTTCTTGCCCGTATTAGAAAGTTGGGTCCAATGTTGGTCTGGGAGCCGGACAGAGGGGTCCCTCATGGCCGCAAATGCTTGGAGATGAGTGGGGTCATCCGTTGGGCTATCCATGCCATCAGGTTGCTCGACTTCACCCTCAGACGCGTCGATCATAGTCATGTTGGCTCTGCGGGATCTACCAGGGGGTAGAAGCTTGTGGTTGACATCAAACCTGGTAGCAGCGTTGGTCAGGACCTCCTTGTATTTCTCATACGAATAGGACATGTGGGCACCGTTACTGCACATGTTCTCCTGTTCTCTGGCGCTGATGTCATTGAGGACCTTGATGTCGATGAACGCCTGCTGTAGGAACAGTTTTTGGATACTATCACTGAGTTTATCTTGCGCGTTGGTCTTGGAGTCATTGTACCGTGTGAGAACCTCATCGTAGTGGATGATGAACTCCACTGCAGAACCCTTGGTTGTGGAGTACTTGACCCTGGTGAGCCAGTTGAGGGTCTCCACAGACTCCAGTGTACCTTCCACAGAGGTGTGGGCATCCTGGATCAATGCATGTAGGATATGAAAGCAGTCACAATCATGAAAATGTTCCTTGACTATCACCTTGCCCTTGGTTGTCTTGATGATTTTCTGCAGGACCGCATAGAACCATTCGTTCATCCTACGGAGCTCAGAAGCGGACTCCTGGTCCAATGGCACATAATTGGAGTCAAAGAGAGCATAGAATCCCTGTGCCCTAGCCGTTGTTATAAACACGCTGTACCATTGGTCGAAGTCCTTGTTGGACTTGAGGGTGGGGTACGCATTGGCATCTGGTTTAGCATGGAACAACTTGCGTCTGGGACCGTCTCCTCCTCCACCTCCTCCAGCGCCAGCTGGAGGGTCACCACCACCATCGTGATCCCAAGGGTCTCCAGGGGGTCCTCCTCCTGGGGTACCACCATACCTGCCCTTTCTGCTAAAGCCTCTGTGGTTGCCATCACCACCATGGTACCCTGAGCCGCCAGACTCTCCAGGATCACCAAATCTGTCTGGAATCTGCTAACGTGAGGAAATACTACTTGAATAGAGGGATCTTGTAGAGGTAGCTACCACCCAACGAGATCAACTGCAACTATTCAAGACGAGTGCAAAGTAAATGCAAAGTTCGCTTCTTAGTAATTCATAATCTGTGTTGTGAGCTTTGATTGATGCGATCAGTAAAGCTAGTTCGTAGCGTGTTAGATCAATGCATCGTGGTAGTTGATCTTGATTCATACGGAAGTCAACGTGGTATCTGCGGGAAACAGTTCGTTGGCAGGATGCTTTACTCCTGTCGAATACTCCAATTTACCATGTACTTTGGTTTCGTTGAGAACGTGTTCTTGCCAGCGTTCTCTGTTCCATCGTGCTGACTCATAAAGCATGACTCAATCTACTCACGGATACTCTGAGTCGTGGGAGGAACTGTAACGCTTTCACTCCCCTCAGTGGCGACTGTCGACTCTGAGTGTTTCTTACCGCAATCCTTGGTATCTCCTGACCAAAACAGTAGTGCATTCAGCATAGGCCATACCGATGTATAGTCCCAGTGTTTGCTGAGGATATCTGCAGGGTTAGTAGATCCAGGGATATGATGAAATCTCAAGATACTTGCAGCAACAGCTTCCCTAGTACGGTGGTAGGAAAGCGCATTGTGTCTTTTGAGAATCTTTGAGTGTGGCATTGAGGCGGTGTTGACTACCGTCTCGTTGTCTCCGAACATCATGGTCGGCGTGTCGACCAGTACTCCTAGGTACCTGAATGTGCTTCGTAGGTCAATGATCTGCTCAGTGGCGGTACGGGCTGCAACATATTCAGATCCGAACGTTGCGGTCTCGACTGTTGACTGTAGCTTGCTGAACCAGTCGATGGGAGTCTTGTTCGCTAGGTGCAGGACTCCGGTAACTGACCGTCCACTGATGAGATCGTGGTAGAGGTTCGCATCCACATATGTGGTGAGAATGACCCGTTTGCCTCGAGGTACCGGTGCGTTGTGCGGTTGAACTTCTTTGGCACCATGGTAGCATGAGTACTCCCATTCGTACTCTTTCTTAGGAATCGCTGAGTAATCCGGTTCCTCCTTTCGGATGCGTATGATGCCGTGTCGCATCTTGGAAAGGTACCCGCAGATTCTCTTGACTCGTTCTAAGTGACCCATTCTTGGTGCTGCCCGAAATCTGGACATCGTCATGGTGGCCGTGGCGATATCGAACCTTCCAATTTGGATTGCCCATTGTAGACTACCGATGAGTGACTGATATATCTTTTGTGTGTCCATATCGAGTAGCTCTGTTGTGTCAGTCTCTGGATGGTCTCCTTTGATGAGTGGAGATGAGGCTTGTTTGGGCATGTGTCCGAAGATCCGTTGGTAGTTGCTGAGTACCTTCTCAATATATTTGCGAGGTGCGTAACTCAGTACTCCGTTCTCATCACGGAAGAAATCACATCCTAGGTGGAAGCTGATGGCACCGGTTCCCTTTAGTTTGAACTTGTGCTCCCCTTCCAATGTCGCGATGATCTTGGATGCGTCTTTGCTGACAATAAGGAGGTCGTCTACGTACACAGCGATGTATTCGTAGTAGCTCCCTTTGTCTCTCATCCAGATGTCTGATTCGGCTTTTGAAGGAAAGAATCCCATCGAACGGAGAACATCTGCAAATCGTTCATGCCATCGTGATCATGAAGACTTGAGTCCGTATAGGGCACGGCTGATGATGAGGGTGCATCCTTCTCGATCTCCAAACTCAGGCCCTGCAACAACGTACACCTTCTCTTTCGTAAATGATTCCAAGTAGGCTTTTCCGATGTCTGTTGCCCATACTTCGCAGTCATTGAGTTCTGCGAGGAATGTGAGGATACGAATCCCACGTAACGAAACCACACTGGAATAGACGGAGTCTACTGGTGTATCAGTGAGATGTCCTCCAGCGACAAGCCGTGCTTTGTGTCACCCATCGTGTTTGACTGCGTACACCATATGCACTCAGATCTTCTTCCAATCTGGTCCAGGGTTATGTCCCTTTCCTTTGTTGATGACGGTCTCGTACTCATCAATCTGGTTGAGTTCGATCATCTCGGCATCTCTCCACTTGGTATCTCCATTGTGCGCATCTAGTTCCATGGCTTGATCATGGTTGCGCGGAACTTGGAATCCGTACATGAACACGGGCTTGGTCCTGAAAGAGTGAAGTTTTGCTTGGTTAGCCGCTCGTACGAGTCGCTTTTGAGTCTTTGCGATCTTCTTGAGTCCTGGTAGTTTCCATCCAACTGTGTCTAGCAGACCGTGTTCTTCAGCGTAGATGGCGACCGTGACTGGATCAGACTCATGTACTCCCATCTTGTCTTTGGTGGTGAGAGGCTCCCAAGTTATCTCCCGGTTTCCCATTCAACTTGACGTTGTACCGTGAACCCTTGTATCGTTCCTTTGTCAGATGATCTTATGGGACCTTGATGATCCAAGATCTTGCGGAACTTCCATGTGCCATCCCAAGTTTGGTCTTGTTCAATGTAGTCCACGATATCGTTGTAGGCTACATTTCCTCGTACTCGTCGTTGACTCTGCATTTGAACTTGATCATGTCGGGATGTTGTTAACCTTCTCCTTGTGGTATTTGACTCTTTCAAGGATCTTGGCTCTTACTCGGGTTCCATCTTCTGCGGGTGGCATGAGAAAGGTTCTTTCTATCATCTGTTCAGGAGGTAGTCCTGATTCGGTGGATTGTCAGTCTTCATTGCTTTGTTGAAGATGAATGGTTCTCCGCACTAGATGATCCTTTCTCGGGCTCGTCTTCTGATGGTTCGCAATGTGTCATCATCGTCATTGACCGTTCTACCTGGGGCATCTCCCTGAGAGGTGGTTCGTCCATTGGAGTAGGCTCTTCTGGAATGGTCTCCCCTATCTCCCCTTCTTCGTCATCGTCTGTCGGAAGGTCAAAAGGCTCTGGTTCATGTCGATAGTGGCAGTCTAGCATCATCGCCTTCTTCGTCTCTTTTAGACCTGACGTATATGCGTTCTGGAACTGCTCCTGATTCGACATCAAGTTAAGGTTGTTGATCCCTTCCTTTGCAAGTCTGACTCTGGACCGACATATGATCTGTTTGTTATCATGTGAGGATCTTGAAGGTGAGTTGATGTCCAACGTTCCAGGCAAACCCAACGAAGCGTCACGAACTCTGAAGACTTGTTGTGTCCGGGTTGGGCATTGTACCTTGGTCTTTGTATCGTGGAACATAAACAACATCCCAGAATAGGAATACGAGCAGAATGCTGATGTCCACGGTTTGTCCATGAGAACTTCAAGTGGTGGTCTCCATCCAGTCATTTCTCTGCTGTATGGTTCATAACATCACTATCCATTGCATGCACAGTAGCCAGGCTTCGGGATCAACGTTTCGCCAGTTCATGAACCAGTTGTGGTTGCGTTTAAATGCTTCCATCTGTGTTCCGAAGTTTTGATGCTGGTAGTGGGGTTCAGATTGCCAATCGTAATGCATAGCGCACGAAGTATCTCTTTTACTCGCGCGGAAGTCTGTGCTGAGTGTCCATCCGAGATAAGCTTGTCCATTGCTCCCCTTGTTCGTATGACATCCTCAAGGGTGTTGAAAAATCCGCAGTGGAAGACATACCGAATACATCGATGACAAGCGATTTAGCCCAATGAAGATTTGTGCCATCATTTGACCTCCGTGCAAATGGCGGGTGTGTTCGCAAAGACAGTATCCGTAGCAACTGGTAATTGCGTCGCCATACATTAATGAGCCGGGAAAGGTGATTTAATGGTTTGCTTGATGTGATGTCCAGCTTGGATATTGGACGCATGTTGGGTAGTCCGCTCAAATGTACGTGAATCTTCTCAACGGGAAGTGGAGAAAGAATGGCTGTACTTTCTGGTGTCTGGTGGTTTAGGAGTGGACTCGGTGCTGGATAGTGATGTGGTCTTTAGGACGGGACGGTATCAGTATCAAATAGGCAGAATAGACGGATTCTGAAGGATGCACGGTTGGTTAAGGGTGCAGACAATCTTGTAGGCTTCGATAGGAAAGGTAGCATGGTTGATGTTCAGTGGATTCTCGTCTAGTGGGGTGATTGCTTCAACGGTGGTGCTGATGCGGTTCACGTGTTTGTAATGCCCTTGTGATCGAAAGCATAGTTGGGGTTGCATCATCTTCGAGTTTGATACGATTGTACCAGTCGTTCGTGTCACTGTGTCTGAAGTCGAGACTTGGGATCCCATAACTCGCCAGATGTCAGATGACATGGGTGAGTGTTGAAGTTCATTGTCGGAAGGAGGCACATTCGCATGTACGGGAAGTCCATTGACAATATCCAGAGAATGATGAAGCCATCGTTGGTGTGGTTGCATTGTCTGCCCCACATAGGAGGGATCGATCATCTACTCGTTCTTGTAGTGCTCGATCTGACCAGATGCATGATGGTACGGTTGATACCATGGTAGGCATACTGCGAGCACAACTATGATGGGACCGGTGTGAGGTGACTTACCAACCCATCACGATCTTCAGACCGTTCATCTCATGGTTGTCAATGCCAGTGACATCAACCTGTCGTTGGTGTGAAACCATGACGCGAGCATCCTTAACCAAGGATCCCGCCGTTGGCTCCCCTATCAACAAGGGAACGAACCGCGATCGGTCTTATGTCGAACCACAGTAGTCTGAACTGCGTATGATATAGGAAGAGTGTTGTCATCTGCATCGGGAGGTACCGCGAAGGAGTGGCGTTGACAGTTGTTGCGACATGACCATTGTGCATTGATTAAACTAACGATCTAAGAGATGTTAAGTTTGTATTTTCAAATAAGTGACAGTTATTGATATTTTTCTAGAATAAGCCTGCAATTGTAAAGCTGAAAGCTGAATTGTAAGCTGTCATCCCGTCGCCACTCCCTACAGCTGAAATGAGAGCTGGAGAAGAAACGATAGAGAGAGTCCCAGCAAAGTGCTGAGA